TTATAAGGGTACCTACAAAGTATTATATACCTATCTTATGAAATTTATATGCTCTTAGTTTTATATTATCTCAGTTATGTCATTTTTCCATAAATGAAATATCAAAATCAATAATAAAATGAGTAGAAATCCAAATAATACCATAAAATGTAATAAATGTGCATAAAATGTACACTGCTCATAATATTTCATAAGAAAGGCAACTAATTAATTAGGTACCTTTTTTATGAAGTTTTATCTCACTCTTCATGTCTTATTTAAATTTTTTTTATAGTATTATATTTTTCCATAAAGCATTGTAAACAAAGGTGAAAGTACCAAAAAACAAAAACAAAAAAAAAGATTAGAGCACTGATATTTTTCCTTAAAAATAACAAGGTAAATAAGTTGGTTCACTTAAAGCTAAATTATGTCACTTCTGACCTTCCGTACGATAACTTTTCCTCACGTAAGATGTCAGTGGATGGTGAAATCTTAAGACTGGCTTTCTCTTATTTTAAAGTACATTTTTTCAGTGCAGAAAGCAAGTAATATTTATTTCCAAATATATTAAATAAACTTTATAATTTCTAATTTTCTTAAATTAAATTTTGAAAAAATTATAATTGATTTTTAAAAGAATTCTAAATGAAGAATTTCACTTTTGTAAACAAAAGTGAAAAAAAATAGCTGATTGATTTTATGTCAAATTTGCTGATTCAAAAAAAAAATAAATAAATAAAGATTTTAAAAAAATTTTTGGACATCCTAGGTATGATTAAAAAATGTAAAAAAAATAATGAAAAAATACTTTGATCTTTCCTCTTGATAATAACAAACATTTAGGCATTAAAAAATTATTTTCAAGTTTAAGGCCTTTTTTATTCTTGCTATGCTATTTTTTATTGATCTCATAAACATATCTATTCTAATATCTTTCCCAAATAAATCAAGTTTTCCTAAAAGTTTAAATAGGTCTTCATGATGTACCTTATCAAATGCTTTTGCAGTTTATAAAATATAGGTATACATCCATTTGCATTGCTATTTCTAATATCATTCTGAGCATAAATGTTACATTCCTTGTTCTAGCATCTTTAACAAAAACACATTGTTCTTGTTTTATTTTCAGTCTAATTGTGCTATACATACTATTCATCAGAATTTGGATAAGTTTCATTATATAACTCATAAGACTGATTGTCCAATGAAGCCCACATTCATTTGCACCTGGCTTCTTAGGCAGCACTAAGAAAATGTCTTCCAGTATGTCACCACTGTCATAAGTTTCATCTAATTTTGTCAATGCTGAAATTATCTATGGCAGAGAGTATCTTTATTACAATACCTATCTGGTCCTGCTGCTTTGTTCCTGTTTGTTTAACTTGGATGTAGTTTCACTAATTAATGTTAGTTATTTGCAAATAATTATAAATTCTATAAAAAGGAAGTGACTGGACATAATAGCCAACTTTGATGGATTTTGAGCAAGTTAAAACCTTTCTTAATTTAATGTGATTTGCGAAGAGCACTTTTGCAGTTTAAATGAATGTTTGGTTTTTGGGGTTTTTTCCCTTTTTCACCTACTGTACTGAAATGTGAGTATCTCAACAGAATGTTAGCTATCCAAGTTTAACATTATCTAATAAGAAGAACTAAGAAACTTCTAGACTACTAAATTCATTCCTTTTGTTATCACAATTCAACTACAACTCTCTGAAAGTGTCCAAACTGAATGGAAAGAGGTCAGTTTTTCCAGAAAATAGTAACAAACTGAAAAGAAATAAAAACTGAGATACTAATTAGCTTAGCACTTTGAAATTTTCTAAAAAAAGTGACTCCCCATAAACCTTAAGAATGTTATAGAAGGAATTGTAACATTTTAGTAACAAAAATTCTTAAAAAAAAACAACAAATTGAATAGTTGGAACAATTTTTCGAAGGCTAACGACTTTTCAAAATTATAGAATGCAACCAAGAAAATTATTTTCACAATACTTTCTTCTTAATTGAAGTATTTATTAATTAATCTGAGTAACTAAAAATTTCTCAGGTATAAAGAAAAATCGAATGTATTTTGTAAATAAACTACTTTTGTCAAGTCCAATAGTCAAACTAAATGGAAGTTGGATATGCAACTAGCATAAGTTATCAATACAGAACATAGTATCAGCAAGCTGAGCTTAAATTCTGGCCTAGTGCTCTTAGGAAAAGCATGAAACTATTTCTTTTACATTGACCCATAGGTTAAATAACCGGGTAGACTGGGCTCTTTAGTTTTGAGTAGCAACCAGTCTAAGAGAAAGACAACTCTGAATTTGAAATTGTGGAGAAGTCAATGGGAACCACTCTACTATCTTTCCCAAGAAGTCATGGCAATTCACAGATAATAAAAATATCTGTGGAGAGTCATCTTTTCTCATGGAATTATACATGATGATAAAGACTGAAGAATGACTGACAAATTAACAACATCAACTATACAAAGCAGTTCAATACTTGGAATAATTCATGGGTAATTTTCCATTTAAACTTGATTGATAACATTGAAAATAACATTATTACCAACAGATTAACAATACTATCTTACCCCAAGAAACGATTTCAACAAACAATAGCAACTGAATGCAGCTGGTAGTTTAGAGAATGAAGTTGAAAATTATATTCACTCATCCTCTTTATGGAATCATGGTAAAGGGATTTTAGTTCCTGAATGTTATTACAAGTCTTAACCGACTAAGTACTTGAGTCTTTAATCAATGTTGATATGGTTAAGCATCTTACCTCTCATGACCTATTCTCTGACAAACAATATGGCTTCCATTTTGCCAGATCTACCACTGATGTGGTAATGACCATCACTGAATATGTATATCAAACACTTGATAATAATGGCGAAGCTAGAGCTGTGGCTCTATATATGTTGAAAGTGTTCGACAGGGTTTGGCATGCTGGTCTTCTACGCAAGCTTCAAAGTGACAGTATTACTGGATGTGTGTTTGATTTATTCCAATTGTTCCTATCAAATCATGAAATGAAGGCCATTCTGAACAGGCTCACTTCCAGATCCTTTCACACAAATGCGGGTATCCCCACAAAGCTCTATCCTGGGTCCTACTTTTGATCTTCTTCAATGATCTCCCTGATGTTATCAGTTTCCAAGTAGGCATTTATGCTGATGACACTAACATTTACTCCTGTCTCAATAGCAAATCAGTCAGAGTTGACAAAGTTAACCTGACTGCTGCTCTTGAAAAGGACCTTCAATCAGTGCAGGAAATGGCCTGTAAATTGTAATGCCTCCAAAATGAAACTGTTCTCATTTAACCACCATAAAGAAACTTTCCTGCCCACCATCAGCATGGCTGATGCTACTCATAGAGAGCAACACACTGCACTTTCTTGGCCTCACATTTTCAACTGACATACATTAGATCAATAGCTGCATCTACTGCAAGGAAAGTTGGGTCATTGTGTCATGCCAGAAGGTTTTTCTCGTCAGAGTTCATCTTGCACATTTACAAATCTACTATTTGTCCATGCATTGAATACTGTTGCCATATCTGGTCAAGTGCTCCTGCTACTAATCTCAAGGTTCTTGACAAAATCCAAAGAAGGATCTGCAATGTCCTGACTTGATATCTCGACTTCAGTCACTTTCTCACTGATGTTATGTGGCTTCCCTCTGTCTTTTCTACAAATATTTCATGGCTACTGTTCCAGCAAGCTTTTTTCTACCTAGTGCTCGGACTATGTTTGTTTAAGTGTACTACTAGATTGCTTTTACTTGCTTCCCTGATAACTACAATCTTCAAAAATTTAAATGCAATATCAATCGCCATCTATCTTCTTGAAACCTGTTCAATTTTTATCCTTTCCTTTAGTCCTCCCTATACCTAGTCTTTACTCTCACTTCCACTCTGTAACCCCCTGCATACTAGTGACATTCCCGCCTTGCTTGAGGTGAAATGATTAAAAAAAAAAAAAAAAATGGTTGTTGAGCAATATGAATACACTCATCTTTAGGGGTATCTCACAGTGTGATGCTTTAGTAAATAGTTTAAGATAAATGAAGAGGATATTAACTCCAAAAATGAGAGAACAGTAACAATAGCAAAGTAATTGATTTCCCTTCTTCAAGAAAAAACAAAATTTATTCTTGTCTTCCTTGGATAAAAATCTTATCCTCAGGAAGGCTTTTCGGATATCCTCCAGCAGCACATACTTATTGAAATGGAACAATAACAGTTTCAACAAGGCTCCCATGAGATTGATGCCAGGATAAGTAGCCTCGCAAAATAACACCTTTGGTTTTCAGTGAGCAATTAAAAACCGATCTTATTTTAGTCAAGAATTGTTCAACCTTCTGGAATTTTAACAATGTCACTGTCAGTTGGCTGCCAGGTAAGCAAACATTAATTTTAAGAGCTTTTTTGCTTCATTAATATAAATTAACAAATTTTGTAGAAAGCCTCAATTTCCTCTTTAGATGAAAGACTATTTCTAACTTTGGTGATTGCTTACTATTAATTTAGGTCTTCTTTCTACAATGGAAATGGAACAGTTTAGAAATGATATTTCCTTCAAGGTTACAAACTTCTTCCTGTATTACTGGATGTGTGTTTGATTTAATCCAATTGTTCCTATCAAATCGTGAAATGAAGGCCATTCTGAACAGGCTCACTTCCAGATCCTTTCACACAAATGCGGGTATCCCCACAAAGCTCTATCCTGGGTCCTACTTTTGATCTTCTTCAATGATCTCCCTGATGTTATCAGTTTCCAAGTAGGCATTTATGCTGATGACACTAACATTTACTCCTGTCTCAATAGCAAATCAGTCAGAGTTATATACAAGTTAGACTGAAATATTGATTAACTGAAATAGTTTTATTTTTTCGTAGACTGGTCAATAATTTGAAAAATTATTTATACAATTCAGACATTTGAATTAAATATCTAAGAATATATTTCAAATGTATTTCTTTGGATACATCATAAGAATGTGTCATGATACTTGCCTTACTATTCTGTAAAATCAATGTAGAAACCCGATAGTCAGAAGTATGGTTGACACAAGTATTGTGCACCACAAAATGATCATAATTTTCTTGAGTATCAACTTCCAGTGGCCAGTATTGTTCACACTTCAAGCGATTTCTTTCCATTATCCTATAAAAATTACATAAAAAGAAAACTCTTGAAAAAGAAACCTTTTCTGTTTAAAATAAAAATAGGCTAAAACAAAAAAAAAAAAAAAATAGTGTAGTTTTTACCAGATAATTTTTTTTTTTTAAAGAAATAAAGATCACTGGAATATTTCACACAGAACAATTACTTTCCATCACTGAATTTATAAAAGTAAAATGATTTTGGTAAATTATCTCTCCAATATTCTACAAAAGTCTTTTTTTAAAAGATTCTTCTACCTCAGAACAATTAGTAGAAAATGGATGAGTTTATTGAGTGAAAAGGTTGAAAAACTACTTGTTGTACATAGTTAATCTGGTTTACTTTCCTCATCTTTGTTGGTTGTTTCATAATGTTTTAACTATGTACTCTTCAACCCTCCTTGGATATGCTCAAATGGGACAGCCAAAATGTTGTAAAAAGTCCCCAAAATTAAAACACTTTGGCAAAAAAAATTCATACAAGAGGGTTGCAAAATATTTTGTTGATGCAAATTAAAGTATAACTATGAGAACTATGGTAATAAGTTGTGTCAATTGATGTTCACAATCTGGAGATGGAATAGCAAAAATATTGTTTCTAAAGGCACAAAAGCCTTTGGAAAATCTGAATATAGGGCAAATTTGTTTCCTAGGAAGAAGAGATTCAAGCAAAAAGAGAAGCTGTATCTTTTGATTACAAATATTCTAAAACGTTTTGATTCGTTAACCCTTTAAAATTAATTCATTTTGACCAAATGCATCTTCTAAAATTCTTTCTTTATTATTCCTAATTTAATATTTTTCTTCATCAGTTTTGAAATCTGTTTTAAAGTATAGAAATCTATAGTGAGGTACCATTTAATCAATCAAAATATGTCAATCATTTCTTTCAGTGAAGTAATGGTTAGTGAGCAAGTCTAGCAAACTATAAAGAGTTCCATATTCAGTGTTTGATTTATGCTGAGGAGATATACAATGGTTAGCAAGCTATTCTTGAAGACAACTTGTAGGTTCAATTCATGTAAGTGTGCCATTATTATGAGACTTGTGCCAGACTAAGCCATGCCTTGTAAATAACTGTAATTTTCTAAGTTTCAGAATTCATCCCATTCTGAAACAGTTACCATATATTTTCTTTTCTTTCTCACTAATTTTGAGTGAATATTTATAAGCTATTTTCCCACTGTATGTGTGTGTAAACATAAAAGTCAGCACATAAAAACAGGAACCAACTGTCTTCAATAAAAAAAATCTAAAAAATTTTAATAGAATTAATTGGCACCTTTTTCAAATAATCATCTAACCATTGATCACACACTCTTCAAAATCACAACTTGCTATTAATAGTCCTGAAAATATGACCATGTCAAAAGCACTTGATAACCACAAAAAAATTTCACAAATTTTTCATCAACATCATAGATATAAAGAGTTACCTGTAAATATGAACACACTTGGATTATTATCATCAAAACTTTTTGTTCACAAATCATGAGAGAGAGAGAAAGACATGAGTAGAATAAGTTTTGCTTCTGAACAATACCACTTTTAACTAATTATGATCAGAAGGTATTTTTTGTACATAAATGAAAATGAGGCAGCAATTTTATATTTTGTTCACTAAGTACTTTCTCATATCTCACTTGAAGTATAGTAATGAATAGAAAACACTTCATAAAATATACTAGACTATTTCTTTATAAAAAAAAATAAAAAAATAAAACATTTTATAGGTGTAATGATTTTGAACATTATAATTTATATAAAATATATCAAGACAAATATAAGTTATTTTGATATTTTTACCTCAAAATGTTCAAGCTTTCTGAAAAAATAATACCTACAACTTGTCACTATAATAACTAGGGGCAAATTTCTTTCATAGGTGATTTTTTTTTTTCACATAGAAATAGTTTGTATAACTATAAATCCTTTACACAACATTCCACAATATAAAGAACAATTTACAGAAGTCTAATTTGCAATTCTAAATTATTCATAATTTGTGTTTATAGATGTTTTTATTAAAATCTAATAAAATAAAAAAGCATTCTAACCTGGTCAACATAACAATTACAAGGCACTTTTGTTCCCAAACCATTCGCCAGAAATCTCCTATAGTTCTTGTTAAACAACCTGAAAATTAAGTGTTTATAATAAAAAATAAGTAAATAACAATACATTTAACAAATTGTGTACCATTACAAATATTAAGAATTGCAATTATTTTCAAATAAAGTTATGATCTGAAAAGAATAAATTTTATGTGACTAATGTATGAGTCAGTAGAAGTTTAGCAATTATTTTAAAATAAAGTTATGAACCGAAAAGAATGAAGAAATTCTAGTAAATTTGGATTTGTCAATGTACTTAAATAAAACATAACTAGTATGTATTATATCACAAATTTTCAAAAACAGATCAATAAATTATATGAGTCAATTTACAAATTTCTTATTTTTACTATTAAATTTTTGTAAATGGTTTCTTTTGATTATGCTTTATTTTTTCTCTTTTTATCTCAGAATATTATGCCTTAAATTATATTTGTCTTTCAGCATATTTTTTTTTATTTGACTAAACTTGAATTTTACAGAGTAAAATGAAAATAATAAAATTTTATAAGAACATATTTTGGTCAGTAGTTTTCAAGTAAAATGTAGTAAAGCTAATATCAAAAGTTGTTGGAATGTTCATTCAACTTTTCTCTTGTTTTCTTACAAGAGAAAAGTTGAATGAACATTGTACGTTTGACTCAAAGGATATTTAAGCTTATATCAACTATAAGAGCTATTTTATATTTAAAAGAATCAGTGGATATGTTCTGAAATGGTAAAATAGAAATTATATTTGAATCTTTTCTTTTAGAGCAACTCTTTCTATTTCATGGAGTTTTCTTCTGTATAATGATAATGGTATATGTGTGCTATTATTTTGGCTTTATTGATTAAAATTTCATCAATGATTTATAATTTCAAAAAAATATTGAATTTTAAAATTTTTTTTTTTTTTATATTCCTAAAATATAATTTTAAATTTATTTTTAAGTTGGTGTTTGTAACTTTGTTCTATTCAAAAGCTTTTAGCCTTATAGCATTTTATAGATATAAAGTAATCTTTCTGTTAGTCTTGTAATTTTCTAGTCAAAGTACCAAAGTATAAAGACTTTTAAATGCTTATGTTTTTCTACCTAAAAAAACAAAAAAACAAAACAACATTCATTTTCAAATGCACATTTTCAATTTAAAAAACAAAACAAAAAACATTTTAAGTACTTTAATTCTATCATTCATGCCAAAGATTTTCATAAATCAAATTATTTTTTCCTACTAGAAAACCTTCACATAGCAACTAAAGCAAAGCATTATATGAATACAGAAAAGTAATCTTATGAAAAGTTAAGAAAAAATACATTATATGCAGTACTTATCAAATTCACTACTATTCCAATAACCTTTATCATAAAACAGAAGCCATGACTATATTGTTTTCAAGAGATAACACTTCCACAGCATAATGAAAGGAGATTTTTTCAGATTGTCCAGAGAAGAGTGAGCAAAATACTATTATCCAACAATTCTAATAAACTAGAAAAAGAATAAAACCTCAGCTGTGATGGTTCATAGACCAGAATAGCTGTGCACTGTAAATTTTGCAGACTTAAAAATTCTATTCACATAAACAGTTTGTAAGTTAGTTTCTGATTATCTTGTAAAAACAAGTATAAAAACTGGTATTAATTTCTAACATAGATGATGCTAAGATCATTTTTGTAATAAAGTGCTACCCCTTCACCATTTATAGGGGCCTCACCAACATCAGCTGCATGTTATTTCTGTATCCCAGATTGACAATAGGGAAATGCAAAAGCCATTTGAATGCCCTCATAATATAATGTAGTTTCTATTACATGTTTTTGTAAGTAAGAACTAACCACAGCAGAGTACATGAGCAACCAACAAACATGTTCAAGGTAACTAGAATCACCTCAAAGGCTGCCTGCATCTACCACATCAAATCTAAAGAGATAAAAATAGTTTATATAAGGAATGGATCAAGAAAGCTATGTCCCAAGTCAAGAAACAATTTCTGGTAATGGTATTTTCCAAGGTTGTTCAAGCACTCTGTTCTGGTTGATTCATGGTTCTAATTGACCCATACATTTCATCCCTTTGATGACTAGCCTTCTTTTATTATGTTTCTATTATCCCAAACAAGCTTGAAACTTAACTTCCTTCTCCACTTTTGAAACTATACTCAACTTTCTTGTCATCTTCCCATCAAGTCATAACTACCAAACAATGGCATCTCCAGTTCTTGCAACATCAAATGCAGTTTCGTTTTCACAGCCTTAAACATCAATTAACTAATAGTGCCAGACAGTTCCATTAAAAAAAAAAAAAAAAAAAAAAAAAAAAACATTGTAAGATCTCAAATTATTTCACCAGATAAGTTCTTGATAAGGATGGTAATATCATCCATAAAAGTTCTTAGAGACAAGCCATTATAACCATTGATAGCAGGAACATAGTCTTATTGTTGTCACTGGTGGAACTCATTGCTGAGTATTGGGGATGCTCATCAACATTTCCTTCTGTGTGAAAGGAAGTCCAATGTTCAATCTGAAGAGACATCAGCAGCCACCACATGGTAGGGTAAGATGGTTCAGAGGATGGAGAGCTCTGGCTTTTCTTTAGGCTCTCTTCATCTCTTACATTTGTCTTCTGTTGTTTTCAAAGAATGTCGTTTTTCATGGACTGCTCTTCTCCAATTGGTTCTTTCTGCAGACTGGATTGATTTCTGCCCTCAGCAGGGTGTTTGTGAGCTGATCCTTGAATTGACAATGTGGGGCTCCATGTGGAGATGTAAACTCCGAAAAGAGGATTTGTTTGGGTATGTGAATGTCTGGCATTCAGGCAAGATGTCCGGCTGATTGAAGTTGGTGGCAAGTCATGATGGTTCCTATGGTGAGGAGAACTTTGTTGTTCATAATCCAGTTTTGCCACATATTCTGCCACATTTGACAAAGTTTCATTTGATGGAAGTTTGCGGATATCTCTTCAGTAGAGTACCCAGGTCTCACAGGCATACAGGGGAGTCAAGATTACAACAGTGCAGTAGATTATGAGCTTGGTGGTTTGAGTTAACCCATGTTTGCTGAAGACTCTTTTGAATAGCTTCCTTATGCTGTATAGATGGCCTTGATTTGGTTATCGACGTCTTTTTCAGCAGATGCATTTGATGTTAATATGATACCAAAGCATGGAAATTGTTCAACATTCCTTGGGTCCAGTTCATTGATAGTGATTTTGATTCCAGGTGGTGGCTGATGTCCTAGTCATGGTTGGAGCAGGAGCTTGGTCTTTGCCACATTGATGGTGAGTTAAGACATTCTAACGTGATAGCAAAAACAGTTCTCTACCCTTATCAATCATGACTCCACTGCAGCATCAGACTTCCTCAAGTACATAGTCTATTCTGATAACAAATTACCTCACTTGAACAAGCAACAGCATTAACAAGATGCACTCTATTCGAGTACCAATCCAGGATATTGAATTGTAAGTGAATAAATAGATATAACTAGAAAAATGAGGGTAAAAACCTTATCACAAGACAGTTTTTCATTAGGGTTTTCTACAGCTTCCTACCTTTTGTTGTAATCATTTGGAAAATATTTATATATAAGAAGTGAAATTTAACAAGGCAGTACTTTTGCATGTACACAATGTATATATTTCTAACAAATAAAACTATATCAGTACATTTATTTTTTGTTTGTTTGGTTTGGTTTTACAGCATATCAACCTCAATTGGTTATTTAATGCCGACAAATTTTTATTGTCGGTAATATTTTTTAAAAATCTATTTCTGGTAATATTTTTCCTTCAAAAATTCCATTTCTGGTATTGCTGGTAATATATATTTTTCTTTTATCCAAAAATATATTGCAGGAAATATTTGTTTTTCAAAAATGTATTGCTGGCAACAATTTTTTTACAAAGTATTTCTGGTATTAAAACCCACTTTTACACTTTCATAGTGTTTTGACCCCAGTTACAATTCCATTGAATAAGGTTTTGCATCTTGATTATGTATTATGAATTATAAATTTTTACATGTCCAAAATTTTTTTTTTTATATAGGTGAAGTGTCCATCATTTCTATACTTCTGGCTATTAGCATTTTGTTGTTTTGTTCTTTGAACTTCTTTTGTTTCTACTTTCTTGTTTGATTTTGCTCCCTTGTTTGTCATGGGTTAGAGATTTGTTCCTTTATGTCCATTTTCCTTGGTTCTTCAATAACCATTTCATTATTCTTCTTTTTTTTTTTGTATCTTTTCATTCTCTTGAGAATGTTTTGATGTTTCTATTTCTTGGATTTTATTTTTTCGTTTTGATTTTTCAGGTTTAATAGTTTTGTAGATATAGAGTCATTTTTGTTTGCGGTTGACGGTATAGGGTTTGTTTTTCCATTAGGTGATCTTTGTATAGATGATGACTGTTCCCTTGTTTGTGATGGACTAAAGTTTTGTTCCTCTATGTCCATTTCTCTTGATTTTTCACTAAAAGTTGAGTTATTTTTTTTTTATGTACCTTTTGATTCTCTTGAGAATATTTAGAGGTTTCTATTTCTTGGATTTTTGTACTTTGGTTTGGAATTTTCGGATTTAATTGTTTTGTACATGTAGAAACTTTTTTGTTTGAGATTGATGGGACAGGATTTTTTTTGTCTATGGGTGTTTGATTTATGAGTGATATACTACATTTTAGTAGTTCTACTAAACTTTTTAATTCGTTAATAAGAGTTATAAAATCTTGGCTTCTTAATGCATTGTTTTCTTGGATGACTTTTTGTCGATTTGATATTTTAGTGATATTTGCATATGATGCTTGAAGTGAATTAGATTCAACCTGTTTCCTGGCTTCTTGGAATGAGATATTTTGCATATATTTTCTTCTAATTATTTCCTTTTCCTTTTTCCAAATGTTACACTCTTTGGAGTCTGCTGAATGTTTTTCTTTACAGTTTAGACATAAAGGAGGCCTTTCACAAGGTGATTCATCATGCTCAGTTTCCAGTTCCCCACATCTTTGACAGACAGATGTTCTCATACAAACATTTTGAAGATGACCAAATTTATGACATTTATGACATCTACGGGGATTAGGAATGTATGGCTCTACCTTGGCTCTTGTGTAACCTATCTTTATTTCTTTTGGTAGAGTTGGTTTGTCGAATGTCAAAATATATGTGTTGGTGTTTATTACTGTGTCATTTCTTTTTACTTGCATTCTTTTTACCTCCGTTACTCCTTGCTTTTATAGGGTGTCATCTTTTTCAATTTCTTCTGATGAACAAATTGACAGTTCTGGGCATTTTATTTCTCCTTTTGATGAATTAAGAAATTGATGGGGACAGGCCTTAACTTTATAGTTCTCAATTTGCTTGATTTTTAGCAATTTCTCTGCATCTTTTTTGGATATCACTTGAATTAATAGGGTATTATTTTTCTTTATTTTTTTTTACTGATTGTGGTTTGATCATGTCTGAAATAACCCTTTGCAACATGAAAGGAGACACTTTTGATATATCACCCTCTACTGATTCTACAACAATGAAAGTTGGAAATTGATTTTTTTTCTATTTTCACTTTCAGAAGTCTCATATTGTTTCTTGGTTCGCTTATAAGAGATAGCCATATAATTTTAATTTTTGTATTCACTGTCTGTGCTCCCCACCAACCTCGGAGTTCCTTCTTAAGCGACGTTATCAGGGGGGACTAATTCCATTCACCCTAATCTGCCAGGGCTATACAGTATAGTTGTGATAAGAGTGTATACGAGCACCTGCACTCCACCACCATATCCACCCAAGTATAGTATTATGTAAGGTTTCGTGCCCCTGTCGGACCCATTATCTATCATCCCAACTAGCCCTTGCCACAATGTGACTAGCTGATTGGAATGGATTGGGCTATTCCATCTGCCCGTCTATCCCAGGTAAGAACTGAAGTGACATGTTGTGAAAACTCCTGGTCATTTTACACCAGATCAGGAGTCACTCAGTCACCGGGACTGTCCCCCAGGCATCATGGGTCACCACCCACAGCAAATGGGTGGCCCCATTTAGGGGAAATTTTTGTTTTTGAAATTGGGTTTTGTGAATGTGCACTTTATATACTGCAATTTGTGTTGATGGTATTATTATTATTACAAAAAACCCATTCTTACACTTTCCTAGTATTCCAATTCCAGATCAAGGGAGTGGGGAAACTATTTACCCATTGCTGGGACCCTAACAGGTGCTACCACCCTGGGTCAGGGTGCACCCGGGAACAACAGCAACTAAGAGGCGGTTCCATGCTTCTCAAAACCTCTTGATCAGAGGCCTTGCTGATGGATGCAGTTTATCGTCATACCCGGACAATTTTGTTTGTTTACTGAATTTTTTTTTTATTTAATTCTCTTAGGGATAAAAGAATTTTCAAGAATGAAATAAAGGAGTTAATTTACTTTTGCTTTTATTTTTGAATTTAAGGTCTTACAAACCAGATTATCCTAGCTCTAGAAAAGAGCCTCTTCATGAAGAGATATTCAAAGCAAAGATCTTGCTATGAGAAATCATTTTTTTTTTTTTATCAATATGCTGATGATGATATGCAAAGAGCAAGCAAAAGTCAAAATTTGTATACTTATATTTCCTATCCTTCATATTTTACCAAATTTCAAGGTTATATTTTTTTTAAAAATATGACTGATAATATTTTAATTTTTTCTGTAAGTTTCAATATTATAATGAACCAAATGATTTCTGAAAAAGTATTTTAAATTTCAATTTAAGATGATTGAGGAAAATTGTTTTTAAACTAATCTTTTTAATAAAAATTTAATTTCTGGGAGCTTTTTAAAGTTAAACGCTTCAAGTTGTATACAAATTAATTTCTTACCTTGTGTGGTTATATAAGCATTCTTTTGTTTATAACCATCAACATAGTTTGCATTAATATAATCATAACTTGGATCACCTTCTAATGATGATAACACAACTCTGGAATGATCGTAACACAACACATCAAGATAACGATTCTTTGGAAGATTGTATTTGGCTCTGAAAAAAAAGAAATAGTTGGTAAAATTTTAGAATGAGAAATTGTACATTTCGTTCAGTAATATAAAAGCAAAAATATTTTAGAACTATGAAATATTTTAAAATTAAGAGATTTTAAGTTGTTTATAGATTTTAAAATGAAAGTGTGATAACTTTCTTCAGCACTATATATCTATATTTGGAGATACAACTTGAAATTTATGAATATAAAGTTAAAAATAATCACAATTTTTCATTTCGCAAATTTCAGAAACAAAAGTATGTTTTCTCTGTAGAGAATAAAATTTAAGCATTACACTCAATGCATGAGGCATCTATTTCCTACCAAATCAAGAACCTATGAATATCACATTAGGATGAGTATATATTTAAAAAAAAAAAAAAGTCTAGGTTCATAAGGCATATTAATTGCAAGCACATTTTTAAATTCTTTCAGATGTTCAATATTATGAATATATTAGGCTATTTCTAAAGTAAAATATTTTGAATGATAAGAACAAAGACAAACATAATTAACTTAAAATTCATTAATGAACTAACATGGAATTATTTGTATATAAATTCAAACTTCTAAGATCAGAATATCTGTATGCTCCAGGAAAAGTATTATACACACACACATTTAATATATAATTTTTGTTGATACCCACTGAAGAGTGGCCAAACAGGTCTCTAGAGTTGGAATGCTGAAGATAACATCAATCAGCTAAGTGACAAATTTTACTCACATTAATCATATATTTATTTTATATATATATATATATGTGTGTGTGTGTGTGTGTGTGTGTGATAGGATAAAGAACAAGTAGAAAACAGATCTTACTCTAATATGTTTCACTTTATTAATGCAGCATCAGAGATCAATATAAAAATGATGAAAAACAAAGAAACCAAATTAATGGTATGTTGTGTTTGGCTATTTCTTATTAGTTAGATATGTGTCATATATAATGAAGTAACAGATAATATTCAAATAAGTCGAAGAAAACATTCTGGATGCTAAAGTGTGTAAAAGTGAGACGCTGCAGGATGTTTTGAAAAAATGTTTGGATAGATTTTTTATTAAAGTATATCTCATGTGTATTTTATATATATATATATATATATATATATATATATTGATCTTTATGTATTTGAAAGAGATAAGTTAGATTCATGAATAATGGGTTTGTAGAAAAATGGTGATGTAATGTAGTTTTTTTAAATGTGTGTTAATAGTTGGTAATATTGCTATAAATATATTTTCATAATATTTTCTCTTTAAAGGGTTATGTTCTTTTTTGATAAGGCTAGTATTGGTGAAATTAAAGTTATGTCCTACGCTGTTGCGGTGTAAGACGAGAGAATTCGAATGTTTATCTAAACGCAAATCTCTTTTGAGTTCCTGGATGCGGGTCTTTAGATCGTGTGAAGATCTATCCAATGTACATGCACTGTAGACATTTGAATTAATAAACGCCGGCATTTGAATTGTTTATTATTTTATTTTTCATCCTGATTATATCTCTGATAGTTTTGGAGGCGGTTGTAACAATCCTCGTATTAAGGATGACTAATTCATTTGTGAGTTGAAGTATTGGAGGGTAGGATTATGAATTTTGTATAATTTTTGTTGGAGTATTTGTTTGGTTTTATGGATTTTGTGAGCTTGTTTTTGGCATAAGCAATAAGAAACTTATTTAAACATTTTTTTATAATTAAAGTCTACATCTACATCTGATTCTGACCATACCTGCTACATCTGCTTTCTGTGAGAGATTGTTTTCTTCACTAAAGCATGTAAATAATTATGAGGTGTTCCCAAAGTGGAGAGTGATTAAGTAATTTGGTTATCATTTCCATGACTAAAAACCTTTTGAAGATGAAGGTAGGGTAGTGCTGATGCTTTTTACAACAAAGCAATCAATAAATTTGCCAAGAAGAAATAAAGAATTAAATTGATTTACAAATAAATTTTAATAACTGATTATTTTTAAATTTAATTTTCTCCCATAACCAACAGTGGTCATCATCATCGCTATGGTATTACTAATGGGGGGGGGGGATCAAGTCCAGGAGAGAAAGGTATCAAGCCTGAAGAAGACCCTGTTGGTAGAAGTATATTTTCTCACATTAAAATTAATTCACTTCACATTCACTTGTTTTGGGGGAAAGATGGGGGGGTCAAATGATTTTCCGGGGGAGCAGAGTGAGTTCTCATTTTCCCTCACCACCTTGCATGATGGACTGCATACCCAGGAAGCTTATTCATTGTTCCATTGAGAGTGAAGATTTTTAGTTCCATTGAGAGTGAAGATTTTTAGTTTCACTGCTGTAGTTGGCTTAAGAAATTTTTACTTTTTAAATTTGGAATAATTAATTGAAGTAACTATAAGATTTATTTATTTTCTTTCCTTCAGGCTTGCTATATTATTTTATGTTTTCATTGCAAAAACATTTTTTGTGCAAAATATACAAAAAAAAAAAAAATAAAATAAAATAATAATTTCGTAAACTTTATTAACCTGGTTTTTTTTCTAGTCTTTCTTATTACAAATATTACAAGTTAATTTTTTATAAGATTTTGTTGTTTAATTTTTAATAGGCTTTTCTTTTGAAATCTTTTATTCAAATCTGCTTCTGCAAACTTTATTTAAAAATGCTAATTGTTACATAAATTTAACATTTTTATGTATGATAGTTATTCATAACAAATGTATTGATGAAATTTAGTTTTTTGTTTTTCCTTTTTAAAAGCTATTTAAAAAATAGAATATTGAGTTTTAGTTTAAAATAAAATAAGAGCAAACATTCTAAGTGTGAGTTGCACTATGATTTGGTTTTAAGTAAAGAACACCATGCGTGTCTTAGAATTTTTAGAAACCAGTCTTTTCCAAAACATTTTACCTAAAGAATCAACTTATTTTCAGTATACTGATGATGCTTTATTAATATATCTCTGCAAAAGAATATTACCTGATCTTGTAAATAAAGTAAACAATACTGGAAGCCCTATAAGTGTACCAAATTTGAAAACAATCAGTTTGGTGATGATCAGACCCTTGTTGATTTGACAAGGAATGATTCATATAGTGATTTATTAAGCAAGACTTATAGATGTGGAACAAGGCCAAAAGTATGGTGCATCCTGTAAAGATTGACCTTTTTACTCAGTTGTAATTTACCAAGACAAGCTTTACAGCACAGCAAAGTGCCCTATATATATATATATATATATATATATATATATATATAACTAACATGGCATTTACAATATGTGGTAACATTTAATTTGAATAACATTTTTTAAAAGCATATGTTAATAAAACTATCATGTGCATTTCATTTGTATTTTAATTCAAATTGTTTAAATTGCCATATATGAGCAATGTTTTTGTTGATAAAGTTGATGGTGGTGTAATGGATAGCAACTTGGAATGAGAAATCAGAGCACAGTTCAAATTCCAATTAAATATGTTACATTCACTTAAGCATAAATATCCTTGGAAAAAGTCTGTATTGATCCACTCCTCTCCAGCTATGGATCAAATAGTAGGACTTTTATCTGAAAAAAATCATTATTCTCAGAAACTCATTAATGCAATATCCACTTGCAAAAAAAAAAAAAAAAAAAAAAAATATTATTCTTACAATCCAAAGCTGTCACCCCCTCCCATTTCCACAAAGTTTTCTAAAATAATGACCTATTCAACATAAAATTAGTGAATAAGAACTAAAAATTTCATTTAAATTGGATAATTCCCTGATGTTTTGGTAAATTTATAAAAACTGGGGGTAGCATTATTTTGCTTTCATTTTCAAAAAAATGTGCATGTGTTTTAGTTATACCTACTATACCCAGAGTAGGAAGTTCAAGTGGACTTAGCATAATGACAATAGGAACTTTAGAAAATAGGTATATGCTGTTTAAACAGAAATTTTATAGAGGTAGGAAAACTTCTACAACTTTTCTTTGTAGTACAGGTATTCAGCTAGTACAATAAAGACAAATTACACATAAAGACACTTTCGAAATAAAGAAGTAAAGCAAATATATGAAAATGTATTAGTAAAAAAAGTAATTGTATTACATTTTGAAATCAAATTGAAAATTGTACTAAAATATATCCCCAAAACATTGTTAGTATTAATTTAATATTTTAACAAAAAGTAATATTTCATTTAAAATTTGCAAATTTGGAGTTAACTGACTTTATGAAATCAACAGTGCATTATTTATAGTTTATAATAAAGACTTTAAGGAGTCATATGCTGTATGAATTTTGTAAAAGTAGTAATACAACATTAATATGAACTTTCATTGGAGAATTAATTATAACATTCAGTTATTTGCAAATGTACTGTTCAGTAATGATTATGTCTGTTTCATAAATAAATTTTGTTTACTTTACTACAACATTGATGACAAGGGATTCGTTTCTCAGACGGAGAAAGAAAAAAAAAACTTTTTGTACGCCTAACAACACATTCGGCGACGTGAAAAAAAAAAAAAAAAAAATTCACCCGCCATAATAAATGTGGCGTACGTGGGATTGCGTTTCATACAATGAAGAAGAAAAAAAAATTTGCTCATGTTATTTAGTGACGAAATTCGTTTTTCATATGGAGGAAAAAGAAAAAAAAAATTTGCTCGTCAAATTTTCTGTGACAACAACTCAGATTCACATAAAAAAAAAAAAAACTTGGCAAAGTTTTTTTTCGAAAGACAAAACATCAACTTAGTGACAAAAAAATCAGTTGTATTCTCAACTGAGAAAAGAATTTTATTATTTTTTCTCGATAAGACAGTTTGCTCAAATAGGTCACGAATTACAAATTTGTTTTGGACCCCACCTCTACAATATTTAAGCATTGTGTAAACTTTTTTGCGAAGATGGAGGAATGCAAAAATATATTCCAGGAATTTTTTAAGTTCTAGACGGAACAACAAAAGACAATATTGGACCAACAGAAAACATTCCAATGAGACATGGAAATGATGCATAAGGAGTTTCAAAACA